TCTTCGCGTGGCCCTTTTTTCACCTTCACACGAACACTCGCGATGTATCCGCCTCTCTTCCTTCTCTTCTCTCTAGTCACTTTACACCGCTGGACCTTTTGCATTATGTTGACTATGGTGCATGATAGGACTTGCCTTCGGGGGGTTGGCGGATTTCCAGGAAGAGGAGGGTCGCACCTCCTTATGGAAATCAGCTCTCGCGTCATTAGCCTAGCCATCAGGCACCCTTCCTCGATACCCCCCGTACCCTCACGAAATATACTGCGTCTATATGAAAAGCAGTGAAAATGATACAGGCCTTAGCGGGGAATAAATCTTAAAGAATGATGAAAAAATGTGAGCAATTTTATGATTTATATGCTACATAATCAGCATATTTTTATGCTCCGTTTTCAAAAACAAATAAAAATATGTTATTTAATAACATCATGACTTTTTAAATAATTAATTCTATAAAATTTTATATTGCTATTTTTTAAATAGAATATGTACATATTTATTACAAGATATAGTACAGGATATATTTATCACATATAAATACATTGCCAATATATTTTCAAGTCTATTATAATATAGAATCAAATTTTAATCGCTCCGTTTGCCTGTGCTGAGGAAACTTGTTTGCGAGATCGATGAAAAACAGAAGGCTGCAGGGGGCGCCGGACGATTTTTTGTCGACGTTTCGAGGCTGTCTGAACAGTATCGTTGTAAGGTGAAGAAATAAAATGATGTAAAAAAAGATGCGAGTACGAATGCGGAACGAATGAACGTGTAAATACGCGCGTGGTCGATTCTTAGGTAAAGGAGGCGCGTCGCTTTTGTTCGCGCCGCGCTGGTATCGATATTAACGAGAATCGATTCGTCGTGCCAGATGGGCCCCGTCGTCGCCACGCCGTTGCTCGTCCCCCTACTGTCTACCCTAATCGTTTGGTCTCGGGGGTCTTCGAATGCCCGAGTAGCTCGAGTTTTTCGGAGCGTCGTCCTCGTGTTCCCGCTCGCGCGCCTTTTCTGTCGAGAGCAGCATCGTAAAAGCGCGACCGATCGGTGAATCGATCGACTTTGTACGGAATATGAGATTCCGTCGAATGCCGCCGTTTGATCGTTTGATGTCCGCCGTTTAATTATGCCCTCTCACTCAAAAACCTGAGAGTCAATATCGCGTGGACGTAAGGGAAAGAAGATGCGCGAGAGAAGAACGCGGACGCGGAGAGAGAAACGGAGACAGAAAGGAAGAAAGAGAGAGAATGGGAGAGAGAGAGAGAGAGAGAGAGAGAGAGAAAGAGTGCGAGCACCTTCGGGGGAAATCCAGTCACGAGGAAGGGAATGTGCAAATGCCATCGCGAACGCTGAGCCACCGCAATTTCGTTCTTGTAATGGAGTCTCCCGAGGAAAAAGACCGCGAGCGAGCAAGATATTGTAATTGCGTTATCATGAGAAAAGTTTGCGATGCACGCAGGAAAAGATTTTTATATTATCTCGCAAGACTGTTATACATACAGTTTTGTCTACCCATTACATATTATAACGATTTATTAGATGCTTTACGATTTATTTTATTGCATTAGATCACTTATCATATTATTATATAATTCCTCTCTTTTTTCCTCTTTTTTTCTTGCGAGCATGTTCTCATAAATATTTCTGAACGAGTTAATGATCGTAACTTTTATTACATTAGAAAATGGATATTTGGGTTTACGAATTACGAAGATCCTATTAACGAAGGATGTAAACCTCCAAAATGATGTGTCTTTTTAATACAGTAACTCGAGAAGAAAGGAAGCCCTTACGAAGTTCTTGGTGGAATCTCGACCGAAATTCCAACTCGAAACCTTCCAAGTGTGCACCTTGCGAGAAATCGATACCGCTTGAAAATGTCTACAGTGTAATATTTCTGTCGTCATCGCTTAAAACTACTTTGCAAATGCCCCAAAAAAATAATAATGAAAAATTGCAGTTGATCATCATAATTGCTTCTGTCAATTTTACTTATCATGCACATTTGTATTCAAAGGATATTTAATGATCATTATTCACTGACATAAATAGGGGTCATTATGAAATAGTAACCGTGAATTTGCCGACGTATCAATCATCGGGATGAGAAAAGATCGATTTTTAAAGTCTACGAAGCCTACGGTTCTCTGAAATGATTTCGATGGATCGCTGCGAATCAGCGCTTCCTGCTGGATCGATTTACTTTCGCGTCGCTTTAATATTAATGCCACGGGCATCCTTCGCGGGGTTCTAGTATAATAACGTGATGGACCCGACGGGTACGTGCTGGCCCGCGTTTTTACCACTACTCTAGCCCTAAGTCATGTCGTCGTCGCTGCTACATAGCCGCGGGAAGCGTAGTCGGATGTTCTATGAGGCATAAATTATGCGCGCCATTATAGATGTTAACTGTGGTCCATGACCAGGTATGTATCACCGGACAACAGCTGATATCGATAGATAAGACGAGTATCGAATAGACGAAGAACGCGTAAAGGAAAAGAGAGAGAAAGACAAAGTTGTGTTTTTACATCGAGATGCATGAGACATACCCGGATTTCCTTGCGGTGTTTTTGTTCCGTATCTAATCGTCCAGTATATGTAACGAATATCCTTGCTTGTTTTAAAACAACTTATACTTATCTTGCCGCAATGGATTATCTGAATTAATATCTAGGCGGAGCAGACGCATGATTTCGTTGCGATATCGATGATGCAATATCGATGACAGCATTGGGTCGCAGTGTGAACGACAAAATTGAAAATTCCTTAAAATACTCAATATTATTTCCCTAACATAACTACTGCATTTATATAGCTAAAATTAAAAATCTGATGCAGTGTTTACAATAATATTATATAATTATTTATTACACTTATCAATGTAAAAAGATAAGCTGTTTATACTACAAAATATTGCATAAGTATATCAACGTGACTAGACGTTAGATTATGTTAAATTTATAGATAAATTTTAATAAGTAATAATAAACGAATTATTGATATTGATAATAAGCGCTCACCACGCTGGTACGTGTTCTTGCCATCAGTAATTGGTGGCATCGTATAATGTATCTTTCTTACCGAGTTGTTTTGCGACGAATAAAACGACACGCAAATTATCGATATCTGGCTATAATATCGACACTTCGCGCAACATGTCGCCGTGATAATTACCGGGCGGTTCTATTAGCCCGGCTCTATCACTCCGTTTTCTGTTCGCGGTCTCGTTTCCCTTGATGTCCGCTTGTGCGTACAAGGAACATTCGGAGTTATTGATCGCTGTTGCCTATCGCCACTTAATTACGGTTGTGTCTTATCTGCTGGGTGTGCGGCGCCGCGCTTGGTTGTTTCTTTATAATCTCATTATCAGAACTTTTACGGCAGGAAATATCGAATAGCATTCTAAAAAAATACATGAGATATACGAACATTAATTTTATTTTCGATAATCGAGGTAGATAGCTTAATTAAAATTTTTAATTTAATTTACTACGCTAGAATATGGAAGCTTTGAGTAGAAAATAATTGCATAGTATGTAAGAATTGGGAAGTCTATAATTATTTTAAGTCATATCTCGTTATATTTTAAGTCATGTCGACAACGTTAGTTGAAATTAGTTAACAATATTTAACTTTACATTTTTATTGTAGTATATATTTATATGTAAATAATTATATATTATTTATATGTATACTTAATATTAATATCTATAAATATTTATTGGACGCAAGAGTTTGTGCAATAATATACATGTAATAAAAGGTTTCTCAGGTCACGACACGAACCGTCGCGAATCCGTTAGCCATCGCGTGTCCAAATGTTTGTTTTGCCCGGCAGAATAAGATCAGAAAGCGACGGATGAATAAAGTTCCATGATGTGCGGATAATCGAGCGTCATGCAAGGTCGGTTCGATCGATCCACCACCGATCTCCATCGATCTTTTTCTTCTCCTTCCGAAGTTCAAGGGCTACGTACAATCAGCTGATGACGTTAGACATGATCCGTTCTAAATCAGAAATACCTAATTTCTACTCAGCGATCATTATGGGATTGTATAGCGTGTTCTTTCTGAACGCTCCTCGATCCGGAAACTTTACATCGTGCATTTCCTCGTACGGTCGATAGCAAAATGTGAAACTGTCTGCAAATAACGGAACTGCGCATTGCATCTTACTGTAAAAGTTCGCGTACATAACGACGCGATCTCAGGTCGCGTCTCTTTCCGCTTCTATTTGCTTACTATATTTCTTCGCGCGATTTGACCGGAAGAAATCCGTCCCGGCGCATCGGAGCGCCAATTTCACGGTTATCGAAGCTCATCGCTTTTATCCTTTCGGCGTGTCAGCCCGCGATCTCTTCTTACTCGGTTGGCCTCGGCCGCGCGATCGAAGCATAAATTCATAGAAGTGGTAAAACCGACGCTCGACACCGGCGCGGCGCGTCTCGATTTTTCATGCCGAGCCGGCGCGACGTGTTGCGGTAATGAGTTCCCTTTATAACCATGCCACGAACGCCGTGCCTGCGTATCGAGAACGATCGCGATCGCTGCACGTCGTTTTTTTTCGCCGTCGTCCGATCGTCCCGTTAGAAAATATCGCCGCGATTCGCAGACGCGATTATTAATAGCGCTACCGATCGCAGTTATGCAAATGCATTCGAGCGTCGCGGATGCGAGATAGAGAGTAGGTAATAAAAGCTAATTACAGCGATTGAGAGTTTCACCAGAGTGCAATCCGGTTGTCGATATAGCTTAATTACTTAAATAATAACGCATCTGAAACGTCGCTTGTCATTACTATTAACAAGCTGCTTAGTATTTTTTATTCGTATTAATTTCAACGTAATTATATTTAATATTAATTTATTTTTTTTTATTTTGCGTACGCGATGCTATCTCACGCGCATCGTGATATTGACTATTTATTTCGAAGTCTTATTTCAAGATTTAATATCAATGTATGATCTTTAATAACGTATCGCGATCTTTTTATCTTTCAGGATACCGAGGCGATCGTTGCGAGGAGAATATCGATGATTGTCCGGGCAACCTCTGTCAAAATGGTGCCACCTGCATGGACCGAGTGAACGAGTATTCTTGTCTGTGTCCACCGGCCTTCACGGGCACGCAATGCGAGCTGGATGTGGACGAGTGCTCGGTACGGCCGTCCTTGTGCCACAACGGGGCCACATGCACGAATTCGCATGGCAGTTACTCGTGCATATGCGTGAACGGCTGGACCGGGCCCGATTGCAGCGTCAACATCGATGATTGTGCAGGCGCGGCCTGCTTCAACGGCGCAACCTGCATCGATCGCGTCGGCAGCTTCTATTGCCAGTGCACATATGGAAAGACCGGTAAGTCGAGAGTTAGCTTCCGTAGAATGTTGATCGAAAAATGTGCGGGAGGTAGAAGCAGAATTGTAGATGATCAAGATAATGTTTTCTATAGTCTTCTATAAGCGGAGATCCGAGTGGTTTCGGTACATGTTTGAATGGCTAAAATAATTGTGAATCCATATTTTGAGTCGGAAGAACTAATAATCAAAATAATGCATATAAAAATAGCAATATTAAAAATTATATATTTTTGAACTTACGTATTTTACTATGCTAAAATGACAAAATCGTACCTTTATTCGCAAGGTAATTTTGAAAGATTTTTATTAAATTTAACAAACTCGCTAAAACATAGACATTATCTGTAGAAACATTTAATACCAATTATTACTTGAAACTTTTCAAACATTTTTGTATACGAGATATTTTTTTACATCGCCGTATCAGTGATACGTTTTTCTCATAGCGGTTGAACGGTCGTTGCATCCAATTTGAGCGAATTTTACGTCGTGAGCGTGTAATATCGATTGAAAAATATAACGGAAGTCAGAAAGTCTCGAGAGAGGAAGAAACCGAGTCTCTCTCCGGGTTAGTTTAGCGAGGTCGCGCGGCGCGTATTTGCAGGAGAGCAGGGTGATTAACTCGATACCGAGTATGGTCGGGAACAGGGCTCGCGCTGCAACGTGGCGATGCGATCGGCAGGTGCAGCCGCACATATGCGGCCGGGTATGATGCGCCGCGCGCCGGTATACTGCGTAGAGAGCGTATAGAACGGGTCCCTCGGAATCTTGAGATTCCGAAGACTCCCGGGGTCCCGGCTTCTCGCCGTGTGCCGACCTTGGCGACTGGAAACGAGTTTCTGTCCTTACTCGCTCTATCCCGCCGCCCTGCCGCGAAGTAGTCGAAGTAGAAAACGCTTTTCAGATCGATTCGCGCGACGATCGCCAAATACAGGTATATTCCTCTCGCGCGCGGCCAGACATCGTCGCCATTCCTGGAAGCTGAGCGTCTGTACCGAGCGACTACAATCATCGAGTCCGCAGACGTTTTGCGTAGATGAGTCCGTTAATGATATAAACGAAGAGAGGTATTATTCGTGAGAGATTACTAATTGTTTTGCAAAATAAATGAATAATTCTATCGAGTGTCATCTAGATATGCCGATGCAATAATGCATTCAATTTCTACATTCTTTAGGGGAAAAAACTATGTTACATTCTGCATTCTAGTCGGTACTTTCGACGATTAGAAAGAGAGGGGCTTACAGTAGTTAACGAACACGCGATGTGCAATATACAAACATGTAATGGCTGCCTCTTGCGTTGCCTTCAGGCGTGCCTTTCAGTTCAGTAGAGATATACTTACAGTTAGTCGCGGGTGTGCTCTTGCATCTGCATGCATTTATTCTGGTTTATATATGAATATCCCGAGGACTTTCGGTACCGTTATTGGAGGGACCTCGTAAAGAAAAGTTCGTCTCGACGCACACGCGATCCGCTTCCCAAGGAAAATTACATGCCGCGGTCAGCTTTCTCAATTTTATATTGTCCTTCTTAGCTTACGATGCTGTGGCAATTTTTTCAATTAGTTTTATAATAAATTGTACAGCTGTATAATTTATATTGTTTGTCGGAGAAAATCGGCAAGTTATACGTTATGCGTTTTCCGCGTTTTATAGATTATTATTATTTTTATATCGATGAATGAAAGATTTTTATGACCTATTTATTATGATATATTAGGACCTTACGAAACTGTCAACCAGAAATATTTATCAGCAAAGTAAAAAAAGAAAATTTGTTCATTTTTACTAAAAAATACCACATAGAATTAGATTTCGAATTAAAAACTTTTATATAATAAAAAGAATAATGATACAGTAAAATAAATATGAGATTTTCAAGGAAGGAACGCTTATTTTTCGTAGGGCTGCTTTGTCATCTCGATGACGCCTGCACGTCGAATCCATGTCACGAGGGCGCGATCTGTGACACTAGCCCTATCAACGGGTCCTTCACCTGTTCCTGCGCCACCGGATATAAAGGACTGGACTGCTCCGAGGACATTGACGAGTGCACACAAGGTTTGATATTTTCTTGCATTACTTCTCGTAATTGTATACAAATTTTTTCTACTTTTGTATATTTTTATATGATGCAAAACTCTACTTGTACATTTACCTTTCCCCTTAAATGTATAAGTAAATCTTAACCTAAATGAAATTGTGAACAGTCGAGTGACACTTTCGTGCAAAGCGGGCAAAGTTTTGAATTATAAGTTCACCATAATTATTACATACCACTGATTATGCAGGAATAAATTCGGTAGAAATGAATCAGTTAGTTGATCGCCGGATCAATCGATTAATGTTGCTTTCGGAAATCGCTTTTAAATCGATCCGCATTCGGTTTTTCCGTTTCGACTAACTATTAATCCGCGTTTTGAAAGTAATCTCCGTTTAAATCGAAAGTAATGAGCGTCTCGGTGGTCGACATAGTTATTAATGACGGACTCGATTCAAGAACGCAGAAATGCTGGTCAACGGCGCGTTTGCGCACGATCGGGCAACTAACATCGTGAGGATAGCTATCAGATAGATGTTATCGCGCGGCAAGACCAGTTCGCATTAAAGTCGCTTGGAATGTAATAAATTGCTCTCGCGACGTTCAAATGACGGTTGAAGAAAATTCACGAATTATCGAAGCGACAAGTCGCATTTTATCTTTGCGTCATATACCCAGTTCAAAAATACAATTATCCGAAACGGTAAAAATTCTCGCTGAAATTAAATTTTCATACGTTTTAAATCGAATCGCCAAATCAAATATTGATAAAATCGCCGAGAAAATCGCTGACATAAATTTGAAATGGACGTCAGTTTAATTGGATTTATGGTTTAATAGGGAGCAATAAACCGTATAATCTACAAAAAAATAATTCTCTATGCTGTGTAATAATTCTCTTTATGCTATAACTTTTTTCGATCCATCTTTTATGCGTGCAAACTTAATTTTTTATTGCAATTAAGAAAATCTCAATGAGTCGTTGACAAGATTGACCGATGGTCTTGCTGCTCGAAGAGGTCATCGAGCTTCGTAATATTTCCTTCTGATCACGTACGTTCGTGCGTCTGTGTGCTGCCTGTCCACCTCGAACGATCTGTGCGTGTTAACATCGCTGCATTAGCGTGGGCAGTATGATAATTGTCAGTCAATAGAGGACACGCGAACAACTCTTTCTTTTTCTTTTTTTTTCGAAAGAAAAAGGAGAAGGGTTAATTTATTAGCATCTTTCATTAGCGTATTAATGGCTTTGTAACTAAAAACGGGAACCGAATTTCACGTTGTTCCGTTATGAGCTTCGTAATCACGGCAAGCGATAGCTATATGTTTTGATTTTTATCCATCATCGATCAATTCGCAAGCGAGTTGACAAGAAGCGAATTCCTGTGGAAGTGATCATTACGTTCTGTTTCGTTTTGAGAGATTAGTGTGCTTAGGTGTGACCTTACTTAATCCTGAATTGATTATGTAAAAGGCGCGGGCGCCCAGAAATAAAATGTGAAAAAAATTTCTTAATTCAATCAAACTTTACTAAATATTTATATACCAACTACTAAAATCACAATTAAAATATAGGGTTAAACAAATTTTTCTAATCGTGCAAGAAAATATTAGATAACATAAAAAATATTTTAAATATTTTTATGGTATTTAGATGTACTGTCTATATAGAATTTAATTAAATTAACCGTAAGTTATTTTAAAAAATTACACATTTAAATAATGTCGTGATTCACAAACCGTAGTTACTGTACCGTTTCGGTGTAGCAAATAGATACGTTGTTAGTCGGAAGTATCGCTAAAGGTGAAAGAAATTGAAGATGCGTCGGAATCGATATCGCGCGAAAGATTTTTTAGGTGAGATAACGGCAAGATCCGCTCGCGGCGAGACCCGAGTATAGTAATCGCTGGATTAATGTGCGCAATCCGCGTGTACGGAGGCCCCCACGGTCCGTGCAAATTGAAAACCCACACGGGGCAGATTGGCGTACGGTGAATCGATCGATTACGATCGATTAATTCGGCGCCAGATCCGCGCGTTATTTATTGTGCCGAGTCCTCGTTCTCATCACGCCGTCCCGTCGACGTTCTCGTCATCAAGTTCTGTGATCGATCTATCATCGGGAAGGTTTAATCGACACATGTTATGGGTCGTTCGTATAGCAGTGCGGTATACCAATAAAAGTGCACCTCTGCTGAAAGTTTGTTTTAAAATTATTTGAAACCATCGAAGTTCTATACGATTATGAACAATTATCACAAAATGCAATTCCTTTATAATTAATATTATTTATTTCATTTTATTATAATTAAAATATATAAGTACTTTTTTATATTCCCTGCATAACAACTCAAAAATTTAATTAAATCAATTTTAATTAAATCATAATTAATAGTGAGTTATTTTTATGAGAATTTATAATTTACTTAAAAAGAATATTATGCCTTTCAAAGTTTAAAAATTTGTACAAATGGAATAAATTCTTTATAACAGAATATAGTAGTTACTAGATACATGTTGAAAGTACGAGAACAACGAGAATTTTAAATTGCCGAATTTAAATATGGATTTCGATCGAGAGATACCAATTTATCATTTCCACATTGCTCGAGGTGACATATCGATTCGGTTACACATATTAACGCGTCGCGCGTGAACGTTCGCAGGGGGAACAGTGATTCTTAATAGCATACCGCGATGTACCCAATTTTCTCTTCCTTTCTCGATCTTTAGCTTCGGGCAAACTTGCCATTCGGAGCCGTTCCTCTTTCCTTAGCACCGTAGAACTATGATATGCGACCTATGATTGGTAGGTCCCGCATGATGTATCACGAGGGAGTCCCACTGCCAAGACGACAACGATTATTAATAATTGTGCGGAGATAATTAATGGTTATGCGTGAATTTATTGAGCCTTCTTTACAGCAGCCATTTTGAATAAACTGTATATTTATCAAATGCGTGCGTATGTACGCAATATTTCGTCATTAGATTGTAATTGCTGATATTGTTGTATCGATATCGTGACGAATACAAAGTTTTACTATAAATGTAATAGAGAGAAAAATTTCCAAATCTAGAAAGCTTCAACGCAAATAAGTTTGAGAAATATAATAGTTAGATGCGAGATTGCATTATTTGTCAATGTAATAGTCTGATGATAATATGATACTTTCCGTAATTTTTTTTCTTTTGTCTTAACGTTTTATAATAATCGTCGGATGTAAATAAATCCATCATCGTGTTAGGATTGCATTGCGAGCCCGAAACCATGGAGACTGAGGAGCCGTTCGGCTATATACGCGATACACATAGATAATGGGTTTGTAATTAACCAGTGGACAGGCAGTAGTTCGCGGGTTAATTAATAGTCCAGCCAAGACTCGAGCGCGGCATGGGGCCACACACCTCGCTGATTTCCTTGATGTGTACGCACGTGTATACACGCGCGAGTCTTATCGATATCATCTGTAAAGATTTGATTCGGTTCTCACCGTAAATCGGGATTCTGTCAGTTTCAAACATTATCGATTAAGAAACAAACAAAATTCTGTACGTGTGTCTGTGTGTGTGTGATCCGTTGTAATAATATATGTATTATATACACACACACACACACACACACACACACAAAATGCAGGAAATGTATAGGAAAATACAGGAAGTTTAAACTATAATCCACAAATTCTGAGTGAACAAAATTATGCTCGATTTTGTGAGTAATTAATGCAATATTAAAATATAACGTTCTTGCGAGTAATATTAAAATATAACTTTGCTACGCAGAAGATATCTGCGTAGCAATGTCGGCTCTTTACCGATTCAATATGCGAGATATTCACGGCGAGTAAGAATGCGGAAGGCAAAACATGGAGAGCCTACAATCGCGGGATATCGCACGAATAATTGAAATTGCGATTAAATGAACGTATTACGGATTATCGTGAATTGCCGCGGCCGTAAATGGGCTGATGATGGGAATGCGAACTCATTTAAAACGTAGACGGAGGACACGATGGAGCAAACTGAAAACGGCTTCAAGTAGAAAAATCGCCTTCGTTCCCGGCACCATAATAAATACGCAGCACCGCCCGTAGCGGAACACGGCGGTTAATCCGTTTCGCTACGGACAAAGACACTTCATTAATAATCGAAAGCACGTCTTTTGTGTGTCCGTGAGCTTTCTTCCTCGACGGACTCGCCCCACCAACTCGCAACGAACGCTCGCGTTGCACACGGGGCAGTGGATTTCCTCCTCGCATTAGTAGCTGTTCGTTAATCAACCGTCATGGAATTAATTGGATTTCGGTGGCGAGCGTTAACAATTGACTCGGTTCGCCTCGCGTTGATTGCCGCACACTTTGAAAGTGTGCCTTGTACGTAGATGATAATCGTCACTCCGTGATAATTACCGTGTAGAAAAACAGGGCAATCTAAAATAACTCTCTTTAATTCATCTAAAATGCTAATTTATGTTTCAACACATTATTTAATATATGTTTAATCTTTTTTCACACATGTGTTCTTTTAATATATATATTCAAGTTTAAAATATATGTCAATATTATGTGACTTTTTCAAGTTTTTTTTAAAGAATTTTATATATACATTTATTACGTAGATGTAACTTATAAAAATAGATGTTAAAAATGCGCTGTATCGCGTGTACCAGTGTTATTTATCATCCCTCTGAATTATTCTCGTGGCTGATAGCGTTCATTCATTGGCCTGACTACGCTTGAAATATACCAGGTGCTTCGTTTCGACCGTTAGGCATTTTTTGTACGTCTACGAACCGAGCGATGAATTAGAGAATTCGCGTTTTTCTACGATCGTCCGCGTTCCCCTTCATCTGCCCGACGACGGTGAACGGCGTCATCGCGTTCCACGTTTTGCACGGGGCATCGTAATTAGGAAGACATTACTCAAAGACAGCTCCCCTTACCCCGAGAAGGATCACTTCTCTCCCGTAATCCTGTCTCGCGGAGACCTTCGGCTACCTTTGGCTTCGGGGGCGTA